TTTTTTATTTAAATATTCACCGTATTGTTTTCAGTTTCTGCAATTGCTAACACAGACTTCACCTGTGTGCACAGCCTCTTTAGGGATATTTAACAGCATCCCTGTTGATCAAACCCCCAAAATGCTATGAGATTGCTGAGTCATAGGGCATGCACATTTAATACTTGTAAGTAACTTTTTTAAATTGAAGGCATACACATTTTTATGATACACACACAAAATTCCAGTTGTGCAAGAGGCACAGTGACGGTAGTAACTGTTCCCTAGCTCTAGACTCTTCACCTGTCAGTTCCTGCCCTGATGGCAACTGTTCTTAACAGTTTATTGTGTTTTCTCCCAGAAATGTTCAAAACATGTATATCTCCCCCTTGTTTCTTTTAAACTCAGATGGGATCATGACATACTTACTGCTAATGTTGTTTTTGTTTTTAACAGCGCACCCTAAGGTCCTTCTGTAGTCACATCTTTAGGTGTGCCTAGGTTATTTCAGTAACTGCACGTTCCTTAGTGGCAGCAGCACAGGCTGTTAACCAGTCCCCATGATGGGCAGCTCGGGCATCTTCGCCCCTCCAAGTCGTGCTGCATGGCTGCTACTGCATGGGGCCCATGGGAGTGTGCCATGGGGACAATTACCAGATAAGCATTGAACATTTGCTATGAATTTCCCCTTGTGCCCCCAAAGGTCGTGGCCTTTTCAGTCCCACCTGCAGTGTGTCAGGGAAGCTCATTGCTTCACATCATTGCCAGTGTTTTCCAGAGTTTGGTGGCGCCAGTCTTTAAAAGCAATATGGCCATTGTGAAAAATTTCAAGATGTGGAAAAATTATAAAGAAAAGAACAACCAAATTAATCCACTACTCCAAAATAATCTGTCTCCCTATATTTTTAACTTTTGATCTTGAAATAATTACAGAAATAATTGTAATTCAGTTATAATATTAAACAATACTGAAAATAGATACAGTTTTATGACAGTATAGGGAGGTCCTATGTACCCTTTACCCAGTCTCCCCTAATGTTTGCATCTTATATAACTATAGTATTAACACCAGGCAGTTGACATTGGAACAGTGCTTATGTTTAGTTCTATGTAATTTTATCACTTTTGGGCACACCCCCCCACCCCCCCACCACCAAAAGAAAAAAAAAATCAAGATACAAAACTGTTCCACCACCATGATCTCTTGTGTTACCCCTTTAGCCATACCCTATTTCCCCCGCCCCCCGCAACTAAGCTGTTCTCCATCTGTATAATTCTGTCATCTTGAAAATATTCTATAAGAATAATATAACATGTGACCTTTTGAGATGGGCTTTTCCTCTGGCAGTGTGTTCTGAGAGCCATCACGTGGTTGGATCCGTGGCTAGTGTGTTCCTTGGCATGGCTAGGTACTGTTCCATGGTGCGCATGCCACCTGGTCTAGCCTTTCACCTACTGCACATGCACTTTTTAAATGATGGGAGCACATCTGAGAGGGATGTGGACAGATTCAGGCATAAGCGGGTGTGATGGGTTTTTGCGAACAAAGATGACTCTTCACCTCATGTAGTTGTTTCTAGTTTACAATGGACTTTGCACCATGATCTGGTTTTCAGCCTCTTCGCACCCCTGGGGATAGACATGTTTATCATCCATTTTGTGCGTGAAGGAGTTCAGAGTCGGGGTGCAGCACATGCAGCAGGAAGCAGCAGGGCCGCGCTATTCCCCTAGGACCCTTGGTGTTCTGGTCCCTCTCAGACAAGCCCCTTCCACTAGAGTGATTTTTTTTTTNGGTGGGGACACGTGTCCACAGTGGCTGAGGGGCAGATTGTAGCTGCTTGTAGACTGCATCCTGGGGATTGAGTGCCCTGTCATTCATGATGAAGGGACAGTCTCCATGTTGTAGTGAGTGGCTTGGGGTGTAAGAGCCTAGTGTTTTTCATCACTGCTTTGTAAAGTGTGCTGCTGCTGTATTGACAGGAGGACATTGACTTGAAGGCACTGGGGTTCGATATGGCGGAAGGTGTGAATGAGCCCTGTTTGCCGGGAGACTGTGGCATATTTGTCACTAAGGTGGACAAAGGAAGTATTGCAGACGGCCGTTTGCGGTAAGAGTTTAGGAGGCCTAGGCTCCGGAGGGAAGGGGGGGTCCTCCGACCCAATGAAAGGACCCAGAGATAGGTGGCAGTTAAGTGAATGTACCCCAGGGTCTGAGGGACTCACTGTCAGCCTAAGGCCAACAAACTCAGCTACTAACGTTGTTCTTAAAGGATACTCTCTGACTCGCAGTTGCCTCTGAATCTGACCTTTCTCCAGTCACCAGGTGCTGCCTTTCGCCTCTCTGGGCAGGGAAGTGTGTGAGGGCATAGAATGTGCACTGCTTGGTCATTCCATGAAATAGTAATGATGATAAAATAGTGCTTACTATTGCTAAGTACTGGTTTACCCACTTTATATAAGTAATTCATTAATCTTTGCAATCCTGTGAGGTAGCTGCAACCTCATTTTGCAGATGAAGACACTGAGGCCCAAAGGGGCTAGGTCACACAACTAGTGATTGGTAGAGCCAGGATTTGAACCCAGACAGTCTAGGTCCAGCATCTGTGAGTTTCACCATTTGACCCTCCTAGAAGGGCACGTCTTTCTGAATGTGTATGTGGGGTACCTGCTTTCTGGCATTTGACCTTCCAGCATTACCAGCGGGGCTGCCTACTGGTCCCAAGGCCTGCATGGATACTGACCTGCCTGCGCCCCCTCCTCAGGGTCAATGACTGGCTGCTGAGAATCAACGACGTGGACCTCATCAACAAGGACAAGAAGCAGGCCATCAAGGCTCTCCTCAACGGGGAGGG